ATGCTGTCAGGCGTCGGTCCGGCCAAACATTTGCGCGAGGTAGGCATCAAGCCGATTGCGGATCTGGCCGTTGGCTACAACCTCCAGGATCATACGGCGCCGGCTGTGACCTTTACAACTAACGCAACTTCACTGAAATTCGAAGACTTTGCCGATCCCACCTGGCTGACCCGGTTCAATCGCAGAGAGGGTCCGTATGGTTCGCCCGGCGGCTGTGAGGCGATTGCCTTCTGGGATTTGGATCATGAACGCGACGAGGATGGCTGGCCGGATATTGAGTTGTTCTTGGTGGGCGGTTCCATGTCATCCAATCCAGCCATATCACGCGCCTTTGGCCTTAAGAAGTCCATCTACGATTCGCTGTTCGCCGAGATTGAGGACAAGGCGCTAAATGCCTTTATGATTTTCCCCATGATTTTGCGGCCCAAGAGTCGCGGTCGCATCATGCTCAAGAGCAGCGATCCCTTCAAGTATCCGCTGATACATGCCAACTACTTTGCCCATCCGTACGACGTGGACATCTCGGTGCGTGGCCTCCTGAAGGCTATCAGCCTGATGGAGCAGCGGGGCATGAAGGCCATCGATGGCAAGCTGTGGGAGCGCAAGATACCCACCTGCAAGCAGCATCCCTACAAGAGCTGGGCCTACTGGGCCTGCTATGTGCGCCACTTTACCTTCACCATTTACCATTATTCGGGCACCACCAAGATGGGACCCAAATCGGATCGGGCGGCGGTTGTGGATGCCCGCCTGCGTGTCCATGGCATACGCAATTTGCGTGTCGCAGATGCCAGCATCATGCCCGAGATCATGTCCGGCCATCCGAACGGACCCGTCTTTATGATCGCCGAGAAGGCCGCCGATATGATCAAGCAGGATTATGGCTATATCAAATAAATCCCAGTGCAGTCAGCATGCTCTAGTTTAGGTTTAGTTTCACATCAGGTTTGAGCTCCGTTCCACAAGTTCCAGTTAGCTGCGATAGATCCCGTCCCTGAACCTTCGCTGGATCCGGAATATTTTAGACGCCGAACGGGGCTTTAGTTAGATCTTGCCCGCATTCAATCTCTATCTGTCCTACATAATGAACTGATTTTAATCTAAGCTAGCTCCTAAGACAACAATAAATATTTTAAGAAACTTATAACAATTCTCAACTGGTTCTTGGCTTACCCCCAAACCCTCCCCACCCCTTAGCAACAGGTCAATTCGTTCCGCCAAACATCTCGGAGTGACTTTGGACTTTTCGAACAGGCCGGCACGAGCTCTTTTGACATTGACATTGAACTCTATTTTATAACACCTCAACTCTATCTGCAGCTGTGAATATTTGTATCCGCATATATAATTATTAATATTGGTATGGGAATATTTATACAAATATTTATCTACATATATACATGAAAATGCATCTGTATACAAATATTCCATAGTATCTCTATCTATATCTTTAATTCATCTGTATCTGTATCTGTATCTATATCTGTATATGTATCTGTATCTGTATCTGTATCTGTATCTGTATCTGTATCTGTATCTGTATCTGTATCTGTATCTGTATCTATATTTGCTTCTTTAAATCCGCCTCTTTCGAGACATTTATCCGTATTTACAAACATTCATACGCCATTTGTTCTTCTATATATTTCTGCTTCTTCATTTCTATCTATATCTTATAACTTATTTCTTGTGCATCTGCTTCTTCTATAACTTATTGTCACATTTGTTCTCATTGGTTTCATTGTTGCTCACCTGCCTTTTCGCCAATTTTCATGCTAATCAAGAACAGCAACAACAACAAACGCTAACAAAACCATTAAATTGAAAGCCATGAAGTCTGCGACTTCGCCCAAATCAAATGCCGCCTTTTTGTTTAGACTCTTTTTTTTTTCAGATTTGTTAAATGCTGTTTCTCGACTTTTATTGTTGCGGAAATAATATGCAAGCGGCAATCACATATTCCATTTGAGTTCCATTTGAATACCCTGTTCGCACATAAAACGTGTTATAAAGTGTATCATAAAGTTGGGCTCGCATCTGTTATTTTCATCTCCAAGAGATCTGAGCTAATTTTGTCGAGCTTTAAAATCATCTTATTATGTTAATATTTTCCATTTTTATATTAGCTTAGAACCCAAATGCATTGTGCTCATGTCTGGCACATAAAACACAAGAAATGTTATTTTAATTCCGTCTACAGGGTATTTTCCAGTCCTTATATCGCTAAACAAATGAATTGCTTCCAATTTTAGCTAGGCATCATATTATCGTGTCTAATTGCCAAATTCGTGTTAATTATTGAGTTTGTTTTATTTCTACTTGCCGTCCTCAGGGTAGGTAGTTTATGTTCTGCCTTCACCTTGACTTTATTTTAAAATGCGAGTATTCAACACAATTTTGTTAGATCGATAATGCGAGATGTGTGTTTATCAAAACAAGTTTAAGCACATCGTGTGCGGCGCTTGAAAGTATGCAACAAATTTTGGTTTTGGGGGAAAACAAAACTCTTAGTGAACGCAGCTTTTAAGGCGCAGCTTTAAGCTCTGCAAATGCTCCAAATTAATCGAAATAAGTTCTTATAAATATAAACCCTGTATCCATTGAAAATGTATACATAAATGGGTGCAATGGCTATGGGCAAATGTATGTGTGTAACTGGCAGAGGCTTCTACGAACCCAATATGTATTTTTCTGATCAACCGAATCAATTTTATATGTCGGTGAGGAGCTACAGACATCAAATGTGAAATAATATTTGCGTGCATCATATTTTTAAATATTCAATATATATTAAATAATATTGAAAAATCGATAAATGTTGAGTTTTTCTTAGAGATACATCATAATGGGTCATTTGGCTTTCGCACATATGCATATGTTTTATTTATTATTTATATCATTATATCATTATTATTATTGTATACCCAACGAATGAATCTTATTAATTAAATTTTGTGAGTGATTTCTGTACGTCAAGCTTAGAGTACTTTAATAATATTTGTATTCTCCATTTGTTGAATACATCACCGAGCAACTCTTATTTCGCGCCCCATTTCATTTATTCCGCTGGAGTTTGAGTACGGATGTGGTTATCTCGACTTTTTGCCCTCTCAGCATACTCTTCCCCTGCCAAAAAGTCGGCACTTTCATTATCAAAGCATCAAATATTCATGAATTCAGAGTGGGCGTTGCCAGGGCCAGCAGTTCAGCAGGTGCTGCTGGGCATATGCAGGTGACTCGACTGGCCAGACAGCCAGACAGATTTGACTGAATCCAGCGATTGCCTGCCAGATTTGCGAATGGTTGCCGGGGAATTTGGCGCAATTGCATGCCTATTTTCAATATGCTGAACAAATCGGACAAACAGGCGCTTGCAGGCATCGTGTCTGCGTCCCATGGCACAGCCTCCACTGTGGGGTGGTTTATTGCAACTGAACAAAGGCCTGGCATAGGGTGGCTGTCAGTCTGATGCCCGTTTAATCTGCCCTGATTGCGCATGATGCGTTCGAGGTTCGTAATTATGTTTTCTTTCAACTTTGTCATGTGTAAAAGCGAAATAAAATAAAATCAAACAACTCACCGAACTTTACGCGAAAGTGCCTGACTAGCAGGTACCCTGTACACATCGGCGAGCTACCCTTTCAAACATTCTAGCTTTCGCCTATACAAACTATCTGTGCTGCTTCTTCCCTTTGTCTTATGTTTGAATAACTCGGGTGCTCATTGTCTTGTCTCTATCAGATTTGCAGGTCATTAATATGGCATCCAATTGTATGCACATGCCAAAGCAGAAGCTTTCAAAAAGTAGAACATTTGCAATCTATTACTAAATACCAAGTTTTGTATACTTAGCTCTCATTTTCATCAGGAAAATGTATTGACATGCGGATAATGGACTGTTCTGCTCTTTGTATGCGAGATTGGATTGAATTACATATCGAAGAGTTTATACAGATAATTCTTTTCGACCAATAATACTGCTCAAGCTGATATATTTTGTAGCTAACTCCCTGTTAGAATGTCACCTATCGCCTTTCACACACAATATACCCCCTGTTTGGAACATGTTCACTGGCTACAGGGTATAATAAAAATTTAAAAGCAAAAAACACGCGCTAATGGGGTTGCTTATGGGGTTGACAGCTAACGAATCCCCTGGCACAAAGCCAGCTAAGCTAAATATTCAAAGACAGAGTCGGATTCGGAGTCGGAGTCAACGAGTCAAGCACTCTCCAGTTGTTAGCTAACAAGTGTTTATAGTTTCCGCTATGCAGATAACAGCGGGGCAGCAAATAAACTGACGCAGAACCAGAACTATAGCGAAATCCGGGCAAGCTGTTGGCAAAAGAAGCCGTCAAAATGCCAACAGGCCTGGCCCAATGAGCCACGCACAAAAGCCAAGTCAAGGGGAAAGGTGGCGACCAGAGAAACAGTCAGCGACCGAGTGATACAGAGGGAAAGACAGGGAGAGAGAGAGAGAGAGAAAGAGGGAGAGAGAGAGAGGGAGCAGGCTAGACAATAAAAGCTAATAGGCAGTTGGTAATAAAATGCGTTGAGCCCAAATGAAAACTAAGATGAGCCAAGCATCACGCTAATGAAGCCATGAAGAAGAAGCCAACGCTGCACAGTGGCACAAAGGCTATTGAAAAAGGCTGCGTGACCATGCTAAATTCAATACTCCAGTTAAACAGGTATGAAATAAAGTAGCATCAATGTGGCCAAAATATATATATGCTAGGTAATAATAAGCTTACCTAAAGTCAGAGCAGCAGAGGAAGAAAAATTTGCTGTGGCAGAAAGAAGACTGCATCAAACACTTTAAGAACCTAAGATAAAGTGACAATATTTTATCAACTACTCAAAAAAAGATTCCGATCTAAAGAGAGAGTGAGAAATGTGACCAAGGAGGACGTAAAAATCAACAGCTTTGCTTGAGATAGAACTTTTCCAAAAAGTAGAAGTCAAATAAATATATTATATATTTACAGCGTAACTTGAAAATTCATGCAATTCAAATGGGAATTGCAGCACTGTGCGCAGACAGCATTGAAATGGACCAGAGACCAAATTTCACCGGCACAGTCGCCAGCGAATTGGCCAAGCGTACGGTTATTCAACAATGATCGGGCGTCCGTTTCCACTGTGGCAGCTATTGCTATTGATGCTGCTGCTGCCACTTGCCTTGGCCCTGAAAACGACACTAAGAAATAGAGAGCAGCAGCAGGCGAATCTGGAGCAGCTGCGTCAACTGGGACTTGGCAATGTGATCAGCCTGCCCATCTACAGCGATCGTAAGTGATATCCACCCGAATCTAAGTGCCTGCCCAATTCAAACAAATTCCTCAACAGTGCCCCGCGGCAATTATGACTTCATTGTGGTCGGAGCCGGTGCCGCTGGCTGCACGCTGGCCGCACGACTCTCCGAGAATCCCAATTGGCAGGTCTATTTAGTCGAGGCAGGCGGCGTGGAGAACATAATGCACTTGGTGCCGCTGCTGGCGCCCGCCCTGCAACTGACCGCCTCCAACTGGAACTACCAATCGCAGCCGCAGCCTCGCGCCTGTCGCGGCATGCCCGGCAACCGTTGCGCCCTACCCCGGGGCAAGGTTCTGGGTGGCACCAGCTCCATTAATTTCATGATCTACAATCGCGGCAATCGGCGCGACTTTGATGCCTGGGCCGAGCGGGGCAACCGCGGCTGGAGCTATGACCAAGTGCTCCCCTACTTCCTGCGCAGCGAGTCCGCCCAGCTCCTAGGCCTGGAGCAGTCGCCGTACCACAACCACAGCGGTCCGTTGAGCGTGGAGGATGTGCGGTATCGCAGCCGCTTGGCGCACGCCTATGTCCGTGCCGCCCAGCAGGCGGGTCATCCGCGCACCGACTACAATGGGGAGTCACAACTAGGCGTGTCCTACGTGCAGGCCAACACGCTGAAGGGTCGCCGGCACAGCGCCTTTCGGGCCTACATTGAGCCCGTTCGACAGCGCCGCAACAATCTGCACATTCTAACCATGGCCCGGGTCACTCGCGTGCTCATTGATGACGCCACCAAGTCCGCCTACGGCGTGGAGCTGCTACACGGAGGTCGTCACTATCAGGTGCGCGCACGGAAGGAGGTCATCTTATCGGCGGGCGCCTTCAACTCGCCACAGCTCCTGATGCTCTCAGGCATCGGACCAGAAGATAATTTACGTGCCATCGGGGTGCCAGTGGTCCAGGCCTTGCCGGTGGGAAAGCTCCTCTACGATCACATGTGCCACTTCGGACCCACTTTTGTGACGAACACCACGGGCCAGACGCTGTTCAGCTCGCGCTTGTCGGTGTCCACGCTGAAGGACTTTACGCTGGGTCGCGCGGACACGCAGCTGTCCAGCATCGGGGGCGTGGAGACGCTCACCTTCATAAAAGTGCCAACGGCGCAAACTCCCGAGAATCAACCCGACATTGAGCTTATTCAGGTGGACGGCAGCCTGGCCAGCGATGAGGGCACGGCGCTCACAAAGGGCGCCAATTTCAAGGGTGAGATCTATGAGAAAATGTATCGCCATCTGGCCAGGCACCAGCAGGATCACTTCACCTTTCTCGTCATGCAATTCAAGCCACAGTCTGTGGGCCGGCTCTGGCTGCACAATCGCAACCCGCTCGAATGGCCACGCATTGATCCCAAGTATTTCTCGGCCGAACAGGATGTGGAGCAGCTGCTCGATGGCATCAAGGAGGCCATACGCATCGCCCAGATGCCAGCTCTGCAGGCTATCGGCGCTCGTATCCTGGATCGCCCCGTGCCTGGCTGTGAGGACAAGCCGTTCGGGTCGGACGATTACTGGCGCTGCTCGATACGCACCTTGTCCTACACGCTGCACCACCAGGTGGCCACCTGCCGCATGGGTCCGGCGAGTGATGCCACCGCCGTGGTCAGCCCCGAGCTCAAGGTGCACGGCATGCGCAAACTGCGCGTGGTCGACACCAGTGTCATCCCTCTCCCGCCCACCGCCCACACGAATGCAGCGGCCTTTATGATCGGCGAGAAGGCGGCCGACCTAATAAGGTCCGATTGGCTTTGAGGCCCAAGCTGACCTAAAGAGCTGAATAACTGAATGAGTTGGCTACGTCAAATGTAAATGGGCCAATAAAATGCGAGTTGAAAGCTGGCGAGAATCGCTATGGAGAACACTAATGAGAAGAACAACAAGTCCAACGGGTTTTCGGTGCGACCAAAGGTGCACAAAATTGTTAGACAGTCGCGAATTTAAAGTTTCGTGGCGGGTTTTTATAAGTTAAATGAAACCGCGACAGTCAAAATTATTAAGATATTTCAATTACCAGCACTCGGAAGCAAGCTAATTAAGCATACTCTGTACAAGGCCTCCACACGGAGACAGTCTTAGCTAAGTTAGTAATAAGGTAGTTAGGTCTCCCTGCAAATTATTTTGGGTGTCAACTATAGAGAGAAAGTTCATATTCCAAATATAGTCTTTATCAACAAAATATTCTGCACAAGAAACTTGTTTGATTTTTGAATTGATTTATACATTCCTCCCATTCTTTCCATAGACATCTTCTTTATATAGATAGAATATCTCTATATATTATATATATATATATAGTATATATTTATAATATATATATACTTGGTGTATCTTCAGTGATGTCTCTTAAATGCTTTTTCTGCGATTCTTTGGCATATTTTTCTTTCTACCTCTTTAAACACCCTTTTTTGAAGGAAATGCTTCAGATCTTTACTTTGCATTCCACGCTAGGACTTGATTTACCGAAGTTCATAAAATAAATGAATCCCCTTATGGGAATATATGAGAATATATTCTCCCTATACTTGCATCACCTACTTAAACGTTCATTTATATTTTCGGTGGCAGCTACCCTGAATTCTTAAGGAATTCTTCGTCTCACTTTTTCTACTTATCCTAAAGGAATCCGTCGAGTCAGCTTTCCTTGCTCATCCTTACTCTCATTTACCAGCTATTCACACAGGGTATTTAGGCCTTTGTACAGCACCTGAGTTTTTAGCTGTACTTGTATTTAATATATAATAAATATAAAACGAGTCGCAATTCAGACTTAAGAAGCGCCGAGCTGAGAATTGTGATCGCTGAGCAGATTTATAAGCCCTAGTCCCGTGTCGTCGGCTTCAGTGAAATGTTTCTTTTGTTGCTGCTAACAACACTGGCTGTGGCTACTCAAGCGGATCCCCGACTGCTGGAGCAGCTGCAGCAGCTGGGCCTGGTCAATCTGCTGGAGCAGTCGGTGCGTCCTAACGGTAAGACCAGGCCGAACCAGCTGTTGCTTAACTCAATGTGTCAACTGCTTGCAGTACCCCAAAATTTGGCCAGCTATGACTTTATTGTAGTCGGCGCCGGCGCCGCTGGCTGCACGCTGGCCGCACGTCTCTCCGAGAATCCCGACTGGCGGGTGGCGCTCATAGAGGCGGGCGGCGTGGAGAACATTCTACACCTGACGCCCCTGACGGCCGGGCATCTGCAGCTGACCGCCTCCAATTGGAATTACCGTTCGGTGTCGCAACCTCGCGCCTGTCGCGGCATGTACAACCAGGAGTGCGCCCTGCCCCGGGGCAAGGTTCTGGGTGGCACCAGCTCCATTAATTTCATGATCTACAATCGCGGCAATCGGCGCGACTTTGATGCCTGGGCCGAGCGGGGCAACCGCGGCTGGAGCTATGACCAGGTGCTGCCCTACTTCCTGCGCAGCGAGTCCGCCCAGCTCCTAGGCCTGGAGCAGTCGCCGTACCACAACCACAGCGGTCCGTTGAGCGTGGAGGATGTGCGGTATCGCAGCAGCTTGGCGCACGCCTATGTCCGTGCCGCCCAGCAGGCGGGTCATCCGCGCAACGACTACAACGGGGAGTCACAACTAGGCGTGTCTTACGTGCAGGCCAACACCAAAAATGGACGTCGGCACAGCGCCTACTCTGCCTACATCCGCCCCGTGCACGGTTTGCGGCCCAATCTGCACATCTTTCCCTTTACGCGCGTGACTAGCGTCCTTCTCGACGCGGCCACCAAGTCGGCGCAGGGCATTGAACTGGTTTACAGGCAGCAAAAATACACGTTTAAGGCCCACAAGGAGGTCATCCTGTCGGCGGGCGCCTTCAACTCGCCGCAGCTCCTGATGCTCTCAGGCATCGGACCAGAAGATAATTTACGTGCCATCGGGGTGCCAGTGGTCCAGGCCTTGCCGGTGGGAAAGCTCCTCTACGATCACATGTGCCACTTCGGACCCACTTTTGTGACGAACACCACGGGCCAGACGCTGTTCAGCTCGCGCTTGTCGGTGTCCACGCTGAAGGACTTTACGCTTGGTCGCGCGGACACGCAGCTGTCCAGCATCGGGGGCGTGGAGACGCTCACCTTCATAAAAGTGCCAACGGCGCAAACTCCCGAGAATCAGCCCGACATTGAGCTTATTCAGGTGGACGGCAGCCTGGCCAGCGATGAGGGCACGGCGCTCACAAAGGGCGCCAATTTCAAGGGTGAGATCTATAAGAAAATGTATCGCCATCTGGCCAGGCACCAGCAGGATCACTTCACCTTTCTCGTCATGCAATTCAAGCCCCAGTCTGTGGGCCGGCTCTGGCTGCACAATCGCAACCCGCTCGAATGGCCACGCATTGATCCCAAGTACTTCTCGGCCGAACAGGATGTGGAGCAGCTGCTCGATGGCATCAAGGAGGCCATACGCATCGCCCAGATGCCAGCTCTGCAGGCTATCGGCGCTCGTATCCTGGATCGCCCCGTGCCCGGCTGTGAGGACAAGCCGTTCGGGTCGGACGATTACTGGCGCTGCTCGATACGCACCTTGTCCTACACGCTGCACCACCAGGTGGCCACCTGCCGCATGGGTCCGGCGAGTGATGCCACCGCCGTGGTCAGCCCCGAGCTCAAGGTGCACGGCATGCGCAAGCTGCGCGTGGTCGACACCAGTGTCATCCCTCTCCCGCCCACCGCCCACACGAATGCAGCGGCCTTTATGATCGGCGAGAAGGCGGCCGACCTGATAAGGGCCGATTGGCTCTGAGCTCTGAGGAAAGGGTAACGCCAGAAGTGCTCCGAGTTTGTTGTTTGCTTCGGCCAAGTTAATTAAATGAAATCGCCTAACGAGAGACGGACGAGAGCTACTCCCGAAGCCCCGTACGCCCGTTGCCCAAGACCAAGCCCTAGCTGGGGGTTGACCGGCCGGCCGCAGAGTGCATTCACCCAGTCCCAAGTGACGAGGGTTGAAACACTTTCGACTAGGCACAGCCGCAATATCCAACGGGGTGGTTTCGACTCTGTCGCCAGTCATAAAATAGTCAAAACATGAAACTGAAAACTTTGCCAGCGGATGCTGTTGGCTGTACCCAAACGTAGCATGGGGCCCCAGTTCAAAGGGGGGTTGCGAATTGTTTAGCCGACGATAGAGTGGGGCGCGGGTGGCAACAAGATGAGCTGCCTCGCAGCCATGGGGTGTGTGCTTACAAGTGGTTATCAGTACGCAAAGGCTGTGCCGATGCCGGTGCCCGTGCCCGTTGTCCCTGTGGTTGTCAGCCTGCTCCTTGTTGTTGATTTTATTGTTGCGTACAAAAATTTCAATATGCATCAGCAGGAGGCTTACTTTTTTCGCAACGCACGCGTAACAAGAGAAGCGAAACAACAAACCGACGATACCCTGGCTTTTCGTATACTCTTGTAGCGGGTATTATAACTTAGAGTAGGCATCTGCGAGTCAATAAAGATCAGGCAGTACATATATCAGAAATGGTCGGATCGTAGCACTATATCACATAGCTGCCATGGGAACGATCGATCAAACAGTGGGAAGACTTTTTGTTTATGCAGACAACTTGACCAACTCGGGCATTTAGTATTTCAACCATGCTTCTTATATATAAGCCACATCTTATCAAGATCGACTACCATATTATATGTCTATATAGTAAGAATCGTTTGTATATATATATATATATATATACTTGACATACATATATATTTTGGAAGCAACATATTAGGTTTGGTGACTCTAGCTCTTAATATTTAAAAACAAAATGTCGATATCGATTGCTTGGAAACGGAGTTAAATATCGATTATCGGACACACACTCGATCTGCGCAGGCACTAGGAGGACCTACAGCTAAAATTTCAAGTTTCTAGCTCAAAAAATTCTAAAATCCGTGAGCTTATACAAACGGACAGACGAACAGACGGGCGAACGGACAGACAGACGGCCTATTGATGCTGATCAAGAATATATTCACTTAATGGGGTTGGAGATGCTTCCTTTTCCCAGTTACACACATTTGTACAAATACATAATACCCTTTCTTTCCCATTTTTTAATGGGTTCAGGGTATAAAAAACATATTATATGTGCAGAAATGTTGGAAATTTATAAACAAGCCCGATCTGCAGTTGATGTAGAAGCTTTAAAAGACTTCTTTCGAAAAGTTAATACACCCCACTCGAGGATAATTGAAATAATGAGCACGCCAGGCGATTTCTGGCTAAGCGCCGCAAAGTATGCAGCACGAATCGTGGCAGCTGGCAACTGTCAACAATGCGGTTGGTTTTACTTAATTGCTGCATTTGAAATTTTTGTCTAAAGGGCGGAGAGGGAGGCAATCAGCAGGAAAGAAGTAAGAGAAAATTTATACATATACATATGCAAATGTGCAAATGTATATGTGCAAGTGCTTAAGACCACACAATGGGCAGCATTAATAGCATCTGGGTTGCAACTAGTCGACGAACTCAAAGCTGAACCTTGAGCCGGTTCAAAGAACAGGCAAATTGTAAGCTAAGCCCGAAAAATGTATTATCAAAAAAATGTTTATCAATTGCAAACATTATTGCAAGACTTTGATACCTACGATAAGAGTTTCAGTACGCTAAGTTACATATTTTTATAAATAAAATTCATTTCAATAAATGTGATGAACCAAAGTTTACGATTCGAACCGTAAGCCGCGAGGCGTGTTGTGCTTATCGAAGTTTATGTTCTTTTTATCTCTACAAATTTTACAAATAACCCACAATAAGGACTGCAAGCCGAAACTCCCAGCAAAATTTGTTTACCATGAACCGAAGCTTAAAATAAAATGAACCAAATCAAAGGGCAGGCTTGCTTGGTTCGTTCCAATCGTGAACCAGTTTCACGAACCGAACCCAAAGGCAAGCGGAGCTAAGTCCGTTTTATTCTTTGTATTTATGGCCCCGCCCTGCTGTATGTTTATGTTAATATATATACGAAAATTGCCCATGGTGCGTAATTATGGCAGAAACTCACCTGAAACAATTAAAGCCTCATTTGGGCCCGTTGTGTGTATGTTGCCCATGCTGGAAGACTCTGTTGTGGGCTGTCCTCCTTGTTGGATGTTATATTTAAATGCGTGCACGTTTCGCGTATGGCAGCTATTCCACAATGTGTGTTGGCTAAACAACAACAATAACAAAATGGCATAAATACAACAAAGCGAGCAACAAAACCGATATAAATGAAGCGGAGCTTCAATTCAATTGCCAGCCCGAGTGCTAGGCAACACTTTTTGTGCCACGAGTGTTTCCTGTGCCGCCGGAAAGTATGCTACACTTTTTTCCTATTGCGGCCAAGCACGCTTCCATTTCATTCTTTTACTTTGTTTTGCTTTTGCGTTTGCTTTTGGGGCGGCGGCAGCGTCAACAACAGCAATCAGTGCAATAACAAAAACAACAACGATAACAACAACAATAGCAGCAGCAATAACAACATTAACGACAACTTGTTCTCGGCAATTTATATGGATAACACACGGGTAAAACACACCAGCACAGACATATTTCCATTAACAATTATTTTTATCAAGATTCCCGCATAAACAAAACTAGAAACCAAACACACAAAAAAAAAATAAATAAAAAAATAAAACAAAAAAATTATTCCCGTGATAATTGAATTATTTTGTTTCAATTTGATACGCACGAAAAAAAACAAAAAAAAAAAAAAAACACACATACGAAACAAAATTCAAGCACCTACTCACAGCAAAACGCACGCTATATAAAATTAGAACAGCAACAACAACGGCAACAACAACAACAACAACAACAGCAACAACATCAATATCTAATGGCGTCCCATAGAATGGGTCTGGTGGCGGTCGCATGACGCAAACATTGAAGCATTTGGGTGGCGCAGCAGCGCAGTAACTGCGCCGCGACGTCAATCTGATGGGAGTATGTTTGATATGTGCTGTGTGCGTGCGTGCGTGTGTGTGTGTGTGTGTGTGTGTGATATAAAAAACATAAATATTGAGAGCAGACAACGCGCCACCTTATCATGAGCTCATCTTCAGCTTCTCATACATATATACATATACATGTATATGTGTACATTATTTAGTTTAGAACAAAAAGCAGCACAGCAAATGCAACAATAGAAGCACGCACACACACACGCACATACATATACAAAGAAAAAATAACCCCTAGTTGACGCCGCTGCTGCCGCTGTTTGTGTTCTAGTTGGGGTTGCTGCCGCTGCTGCTGCTGCTGTGCCGAATTCTTATTGGAAGTAAACAAGAACTTGTCGTTTATTTTTATTGAATTGTTATTGCTGCCGCCAAACGCACCAAAAATGCTCCGTTAAAGTCACACACTGGCGCCGGTCAGAGGCCGCCAAAAAGCGCAAAATAATTATGAGGCAAAAAAAAAATTAAACGAAACGCGCGAAAAAAAACTAGCGGCACTTCACAGATTTCGCTTTCAGATGCACTTAACAAAAAAAAAAAAAAGCAAACAAACAAAAAAATAAAAAAAAACAATACCGTTTGTGAGCGACAACAAGTAGTACGCACCAATACACACGTTCGCAAACACTCGATTGTTGTTTAATTTGTATTATTAATGAATTAATTGGCAGGCGTCAGTAACCACGCGCAATTGTTCCGGCACTTTACCGTAGAACTCCGCAATCGAATTGGCAATGTTATATTTTCTATTTAGACTATCGATGTGTGCGCTGCTTGCTATCGAAATTTAATGCGATTCATCGACAAGTGTGACCAGCTTGCCGCGCATGTGTGCTAAATTTTTGGCATTTTAAGCAACACTGTTGTAAGCGCCTTATCGATTTAATGCGGGGCTGAAAAATCAATAAAAAAAATATATATATATTGCATAAAAATTATTAAATAAAATAAAAAAAAAATTGGGAATTCAAAAAATTGCACTCGAGACAGCCAAATACGCAATTTGTTGGCGCATGCAAGACAAATGCGCCAGTATTGAATGTATTATTACTTGATGCTGATGTTAAATGTTTAAAATTTTGAATTGAGCGCGATGAAACAAATGTTGAAATACGAAAAGCGACAGCAATAAATCGAATGTTTGAAACATTCATTTATTTTTTGTTCAACTTTCGTTTTGTTAATGCCGGGCAAACGATTTTGCATGTTTATCGTTTATCGATAAATTGCAATTAGCTGATTCGAGAGCAAATATTGGCCAATTGTCTGAGATGAATTTACGCCGCATTTTCCCAAACGAACGAACCGCAGCTAAACTGTTAAATTGAAAATGCGTCGCTGTTACCTGTGCAACTGCAGCTTCGCGGACGGAAAGGTGTACGAGCACATGTTCGAAAAGCGCTGCAATGCGTCGGGCGACGAGCAGCAAACCCTGGCCAACATCTTGGCCATGGTGCTGGGCTATCAGCTGCAAGAGGAGCACTTGCACTCGTCGGTGAGAGCTGGGCTGGGCAACAACATAATTATGATAATAATAATAATAATAATAAAAGAAAAGAGATTCTTAAACCATGCTCACCTTTCTGGCAGTTTGTGTGCAGCATCTGCAAGGTGAGCCTGCTCAACTATGAGGAAATGGCGCGTCAATTGTTGGCGGCACGCCTGGAAATAACGGAGCTGCACAAACGCACAGTCCGGCTGTATGAGGCACGTCTCAATGACGACAACAGTTTGGAGTCGGACCTTGTGGAAGAAGATCGTTCGGCGTCAACGGATTGTGCTATTGTGGATCGGTGCTTCGAGGAAAGCGAACTG